CACAGTCCCAAGAGAGGGAACACAGGCCATTCGGAAACAGCAAAGGCTTTAGAGTCAACAAAGGCTATCCACCTTCCCAACGCAGAGGAGGAAACCAGCATTCCCGTGTGATGCGGTGCAGGCTGGAGATATAAATAGCTTCTAAAAAGGTTAGCAAAATGCACGGATGACATATCTACAGTAGGTTACTAAGGGAAACCAGGATGCTCAGTGCCAGCATCTCACCTGTTGCAGCTGATGCCTGCAAGGAACCCTGGGGCTCCTCCCAGGCTCTGCTCACCCAGCTGCCAGAACCCAGAGCCTGGTGTTGTGAGTGGGCATTTCCTAAATCCTACTAATGTTCCCTGCAGGCCTTCTCCAAAGTAGGAAAACCTTTTTCCTACTCACATCTCTATCTGGTTCCCATAAGCCCACTTGTTCCCAATTTCCGCATCTGGGAGAAGTCTGCCTTGAAGGGTGTTGTGAGGATGCCCTCCCGGGAGGTAGGAGCAGCCTGGTGAGTGGCAATCCCATGGCCCTTTCTCCTTCCCCTTTCTCATTGTGCCAGGCCCTTCTGCTGAAATGCAGAAGGACATGCCAAGCCTGCCTCCGGTGGAGATTCCCTTCTGTAGGAGAAGTGCCTTGTGGACACGCAGAGGGCGTGCAGGGCAGCCACAGCTGCTGGTTTATGTCAAGTGTAAAACAAATCTCACTTGTCACTCAGAAAGCAACAGCAGGGGACACCAGAGTAAAAGATATTTATAGCTCTCATGGACGCATCTCTGAAGTTGTGTGTTGAAATTAATAGACATAGAAACAATACATCCCAAAGCACATAAATGGATTTCCACACTTGAGACAGTGGCTAAATCTGGAACTTTAGGGATCCCAAACCCACCCCTAACACACATCTTCCTCTGAGTGCGGATATTCTGGGGCCTGAATAAACTGGGCTCTAGTCCTTCCCTCTCCAGGGTATCAAGTTCTGCCTTCCTGCCAAGGATTAAGAGATCAGCCTGGAGCCTACAGCTAGAGAGCAGCTTGCCAGGCAGCTCCCCACTGGCCTGTCTGGACAGAGAGGGAGAGCTTTTCCCACTTCCCCTCGCTCCAAACAGTGCAGTGGCAGGAAAGAAAATCCCATCTCTCCAGTCCCTCCGTGAGCAGACAGCAGGGTTGCTGCAGAGCCTACACTGAGTCCTGAGGGCCAGGCAAGAAAGGAGAAGCTTCACAGAGGCCCAGGCAGGAAGCCAACCCCTCACTCCCAACACACACACAAGGCCCCTAGTGAGAAGGAAGATGCCCCAGTCAACTTCCACTCCAAAATGCTTGGCAGTCAAAATGTCACAGCTGCTCCTGGACCACCCGTGGGCTTGGCCAACAGAGGGGAGGCCTTCCCTTTGGCAGTGATGCTATGAGTATGCTGGGACATCCCCAGGCAGGGCACGTGATTGGGACTGAAGTCCAATACACTCTCCTCATTCTCTCTGTCTGCTAATAGCAGCAGAGGTCAAGTGGAAAGCACCCTGCTCTAGAAGGCCAAAGGTCATCTACAACAATCACCCGTTGACTGGTAGATTCCCTAATATGTAAATCGGGCAAATGATCCCATGGCTTTGAACTTGACTGAGGTTAAGGCAGGGACCAAGAGTGAGCAAGTAGACTAGAGGTTCCAACCTGACGGAGGCACTGTTGCTGTTATTCAAACACAATGAATGCCCACATGCACGAGTAAACATTTTGGAGAGAAGGTAACTGACCTCTAGTGCCACCAGCTGCCTCATTCCATCTTAACTCTCTGAAAGCAGAACCAACAGAAGCCTACATACCCTATTTGTTTCTCAAATTCTGCACAGAACTGTAAGCTACTTCTCTTCCATCGATGGGGATGCGGGCTCTGGTTAAGACTGAAAACCATCTGATACAACAGGGCATTTATGGCAGGGAACGCTGGGCTTGGAACCATGGATCCCATAATGGGGACTACGTGAATTAGAAAGCACAAAGCTGCTCCACACCTCTGTTGAAAAGGTTCTAGGATCTGGCATTCTAGTGGAATTTTTGTTTAGAAAATTCCACTAGAATGGAATACACTGTTCTCTTCCATTCTGTGAACCTTTCTCCCTACAAAACTGCCCACAGTGGAATACAATAATTTCCTGTGCTATTTTTCACACACTCACTATGCACAAAGGGTCAGTTGCTTTTAAATATGCTAAAGAGTTTAAGCCAACCTATGACCTTGCAATGAAGATTCTAATTATACACAGTTTTACTAGATCACAAAGGTAAAATAATTTAGCTAGAATCACATGATTAGCTAAAGTGGAAATCTGAGCCCAAGCCTGTTTTATTCCAAAGCCCATGGACCATTTTCTGTTGCCCACTAGGTTTAAGGACTTGCACACATATGTGTATGTGTAATGGATACATATTTCTATAAATCCTTAATTTTTTACTTATATGTTTATTTATCATTATTATTACTGCAAGATGAATCTGATACTGATTCCTAGAAGCCTGAGGTCTTAATGACCAAGTACAATGTAGAAATCTCCTACATAACACATACAAACGGAGCTGAGACAGACATTTCTACCTATGCTGACATCAGCCGTGGTAGATCCCCATTTTAAATTCATTCCTTTGCACTCCCCAGGTGCAAAAGTACCGGAACATAGTACCAGGTACACAGCAGGCACTTGCCATTTGGTCTCATCATTGTTAAGCTGCTTATTAGTAATAAACCTTCAAATGCTAAGAGATGAAATATCACTAACTTTGAGGCAAGAACAAAAGTCTAGACACTGTGAGAAACACCAAGGGGGCCTAACACACATCTTGGCCAACAGAGTAGGTGTCTCACCACTGGGTGAAAACAGCAGTATTTGAGTCTCACTAATATGTTTATTCTGCTTGGTCTATATCTTATGATCCTCCACTGGAAAGAGTAATTATGGCCATATATGGAAAGCCCTGGTTTTGTAAGTGGGGTCAATTTCAAGTGACTCTCTTGATCTAAGTTCTCTCCTCTGTAGAGGTGCCATTCGACACCTACTAAGGGAATGGCTGTGAAGGTTACAGGTACCACATCTATGGACGTGCAAACAATCCAATCAGCCTTGCAGCATCTCAGCATCCCCGTGGTGTCCTGTGTGTATAACTACATCAAATTGGAGCAGATTCAGACCCTCATCCCAATCCTAGCAACACCCCTCAGTAGCTGTGTGTCCTTAGGCAGCCAGCCTAGCTTCTCTGAGCCTATTTCCTCACCATAAAAATGGAATACCACCTATCTCATGGGGTTGTTTTATAGGCTAAATAAGGTAATATTTGCACGTGGCCTGATATGTACGAAAAAACTCAATAAATACTAGTAGGGTTTAAATGTGCTCAGAACAGCTCTGACTACACACATCCTGTTGAACAAAGAGTGTGGTCAAAAATTATGGTGACAAGTAAAGGAGATAAGAGAAAGGAAGGTAGTGAGAAGTTCAAATTAGAGGCACTTTTTTCAAACCTTCCTCTTCCCATCCAATGAGGTCTACCTCTTGTTTATCAACGATATGACTTAAAAGTCAGTCTTAGTTGATTGAGCAAGCTCTGCCTCTTGCCTTCCACATCCTCTGATGAAGGAAGAAGGAATAACGACTACAGGGCAGGCAACCAAAGGGGGGCCGGGAGAGCTGAGAACTGGTGGTACTGACTGGGGCCATTGTGGTGAAAGCGGGTGGCCTCAGGCACCTTAAATGCCAGCAGTTCTCTATCTTCAGACGGTCCTCTAACAGTTTAGAAACCTGAGGTCACAGCAAGGCACTCCCCTGAATAAGGCATGTTTCAGAATCCAACCCAAACTCTAATCACAATTCTGAAATCCAAATCTAGATAAGCTTTAAAGAACAGCACTCCCTTTATTGAGCACCTAGTGTGTGCCAGGTTCAATGCTAAACATTTGGCATTCAATATCTGCACAAGGGGATCATCTTATGTTTTTAAACCCCATGTTACAGATAAGTAAATTCTACTGCTGGACTTCCCCCAAAGACATTCCCTAAGGCTTTCAGCTGCTCTTATGTTCTCAAGGACTTGAGTCTGTATGACATGTGGAAACTTCTGCCAGAGTCTTCAACTCTAATCATAGTGCTGAATTCTATAAAATTCATCACACACAATCACCTTAGCCCCAGAGCAAAAGTGGGTTTGGGAAGAAGCTGAAGCTGGGACAGGAAGACAGAGAGAAGACATTAGTCCTTCAGAAGCACAGCCTGGCCACCTCTGATTTGCAAACTCTGGCCAGAGGCTGCAGGGCGAAGTGTGCATTTTCTTTCTGCACAATTAATCTCTCCCAAAGAAAATCCAGACAAAGTCACCTGGCCCTTCTGAAGGGAGGCTGGAGGGAACCCCTCCTCCTCCAAGATTCACACTGAACTCCTAACTCTTCCTCCCTACCCCAGGGAGTGGCTGGATGGTTGTTGTTTCTTTTTTTTTTCCCTGTGGTCCTTTGGTAACACCACAAATTACGTTTTCAGGGACTGGAGTCCCAGAGTGCAATGATGTTGTAATAAACATAACCAGGACCAAATGCCTTCCCATAATATTAGATGATGCCATTTCCCACCAATCAGGCTCTTTGGGCAGGCAGACCACTCACCAATGAGGGACCAGACAGAGGCTGTGGGGGGGAGACCTGGTCATCTGCAACTAAAAATAAGGGCGCTTCATGATTGGTTGCTGCCACTTTGCAACAGGAGTTGGGACCCACACACCAGGCGCCACACTGAACGACCCACACAGGCAAAAACTTTCACGGCCCAGGGGTTCACATGGGTGGGCTGATCTGGGTCTGTTTGTTTTGTTTGTTTTCCTAATTTGCTTACTTGATACAAGAAATAAAGACCTAATCCAAAGGGAGCCCCTCGCAGACACGCCCTCCCACCTAGACACCTCGGTTTCCAAAGGCCCTTCGCAGCCACAAAGAACTGGGGAATAGGAGGGGGGCGTTGGCCAGAAGCCAAGACACTCACCTGTCCGGCCGTGTCGTAGAGTCCAAGGAGGTACTGCTTGCCCCCCACGGTGACGCTGACTGCAAGGACAGAAGTGGGGGCGGGGAGAGAAGCTCACAATGACCTGGGCTCCGGGGTAATTTCGCTCCCCACCCGGACCCTCCTCTCCCAACCCAGTTAGGGAAGTGGGGGTGCTCCCCGCGAGATGTCACCCCCTTTTCTGTTGAGCCCCGATCACTGTGAAGCGGTAAGGGGCTGGGGTGTAATGTGGTCCTCAGCCGTCCGCCCCCTTCCCCCAAGTCCAGTAGCCACGTCTCGCCCGGTCCCCTCGAATGTTTCCCCGGGGCCTTGGGGCAGTAGGAAAGGGGCTGTGGGAAGGTCAAGGAGGTCGGCCCGGGGCGGCAAGGGGTGGGAAGTGCGCGGAGCTGGGGCCGCGTGGGGAGCGAGTGGGAGAGGGGGTGGATCCGCGGGCGAGGGGGTGCCAGGAGCGAAGCCTGGGGGGTGGGGCCGGCCGCCTGGCAGAGGGCGCGGCGGGGGAGGGGAGAGGAGCGCGCTCGGGGGAGGCGGCGAGGGGGCTCCGCCAAAGTTGCTCCAAAGTTCCCGGCCCGGGGAGCGGCCCCTTAGTCAGCAGTTCCGCGGCTTACCTGCGTAGTGGTCGAAGACGGTGGGCACGTACTCCTCCGGGAAGGCGTCGTTGGCATAGCTCATGAGTAGGCACGTCTTGCCCACCGCCCCGTCGCCGACCACCACGCACTTGAGCATCAGCGCGCCGGGCCCGTGAGCCATGCTGCGGCCGGCCGGCCTCCGGGCATGGTCCCCCCGGAGCCCCCGCCCCGGCCCCGGGCTCAGCCCCAGCCCGCCTGGGGGGTCCGCCGCCGTCGCCGCCGCTCCGCGCCGCAGGGCCGCCCCCCCGGCCCCATGCAGCGGCTGCTCCCCTCGCCGGAGGGGAGGGGGCGGCGGGCCCGGGGCGCTGCCGCCGCCGCCGCGGTCGCCGCCCGGATCCCCGCCCCGGCCCCAGTCGCCGCGCCTGCCCGCTGCCCCCGCCACTCGGCGCCCGCGCCCTCTCCCCGGCCCGGCCTCCCCAGGAGGATCCGCCGGATCATAAGACCGGCCGGCCCCCGGGGAGACGGCAACTTTGGGGAGGGCGGCGGAGGGGAGGGGCCAGGCGGCTCTCCCCGCCCCGCGCCGGCCCGGGCCCCTCCCGCGGCGCCCCGGAGGAGGGCGGGCCCAGGCACCTCCCCTAGCGCGGCCCCCGCCCCGCGCCCCCGCCAGCCGCCGCGCAGCCCCGCAGGCGCACCCGAGCCTCACTCCCCGCGAGGGCCGCGCGGAGGGGCGCGCAGGAGGAGGAGGAGTCGAGGAGGGCGGAGGGGAGGAGAAGAGGAGGAGAGGCGGGGAGGAGGCGAGGAGGGGAGGAGGGAACCGCGCTGGGGGAGCCGAGGGCTCCTCGCGCAAGTGCCAGCAGCGCCCAGAAGCGTCCAAAGGCCCCGATGCTGGGAGAAGACGTGGAGGCCTCTCGGGGAACCACGACAACTTCCACGGTGACGCAATAGTCATGCCAAATTATACATCTGTATTTCACCTTCACCCAGAAGGCCAGAGCCATCGTCTTGGCCTCTAAGTGCACAACGGAACTACAAATCAGGAAGAAAGAGAGACCACAAGGATTAAAAAAAAAAAAAAATTAAGGCGCGCAGGGTGGTGGCGGTACCTGAGCTGGAAAGCAAGGACCCTGGCTTATCGCCCACCCCACGCCTTCCTTAGCACGAGCTTGAATCATTTACTATGAAGCCGGTGACTAAGGGAGATACAGCGTGTTGAACCACTGAAGCACGCCCCCCCCCGGCACACACACACACACACACACACACACACACACACACACACACACCAGCCAGAAAAGGGATGCCCAGTTGGCTCTGGACCCGGCAAATGTACCTGGGCTCCCCCTGGAGGCGACATTCTCCGAGGTCCCCAGTGTCCCTCGAAGGTATTCCGTTGTAATCCCGGGGAATTGATACACCCTTCTGCTCTGAAACTTGGCCTATGCTCGAGGCGGCAACCCCTGCCTTCTGCGTGGCAAGGCTTGAACACACCCGTCTGGCCAGATCCCGTTCACTGGCCAAGAGTGCAGCATTGAACATGGGGCACTGGAGCGGGGTGCACTCAGCGCCGACACCGCACCCCACCCGTCTACTTGCTGACTAGAGATAAATCGGTTCCTTTCATCGATTCAAAGCATTAGAAAAACGCAGCATTGAGAGGCAAAGCAGAGGTCAACCGGACCATCACCCTTAGGTCGAAGGGAAGAAAGCTGAGACCTAGAAAGGAGAAGCGGTTGTCCCAAAGGCTTCCAGCTGTTCCCAGTACTCAAGGACTTGGAGCACACTTGGGGAAATGTTCACTGTTGTATTCCCATTCGTTACTTTCCAGGAGGCCTGACCTCTCAAACTCCGAATCTGAGTTCCATTCTCCCAGGAAGGCTTCGCAAATCCCTGAAAGTTCCTTGCAGATTCTCACTGAGCATCTCCCGGGCTCCACCCTTTGGCTCTGTGTGTCAGCAAGAAGGTATGCACATTGCTAGCTGCTTTAGATGCAATGAAGCTGGAAGATATTTTGTATGTACCAAATAACAGGTTGAAGAAGGCAGTACAGTGCCTTAAGGTCAATTTCTGGTTCAAGACCGGTCCCTGCCACTTCCTCTTAGAGGGAAAGAGAGCAGGACCTGTCCCGTTCTTCGCTTGCAGGACCATTTGTTCAGGCAGCATTTACAGGGACTCGTATTCTGAAAGGAGGGTATACCAGAGGAGCTTGAGGAGGAGAGCACTCAGCCAGGAGAGCTGAGTTTAGTCCCAGCTCTGACCCTGGTTAGCAGTGTTACCTTGAACATGTCACTTCCCTTCTCTGGGCCTCCGTTTTCTCATCTGTAAGTGAGAACTAAGAGTAGGAGAAGCTCTGGGAATGTCATAGCACTCCAAGTGGGGAACTGATGTCCGATGAATCATGCAGTGGTGACTTCATTGGTGACAGTGACCTCATTCTTTTGGCCCATAGAGATGCCAAAACTGACTGCCAGGAATACTTAGAGCTCTGGGGCTGATCCCCCTTGGTGTGTACGTGGGGTGGGGAGGGGGGCTATCCAGAATGCCCCTCTGTTAGACCATGAATGCCTTAGCTGGAAGCACCAATCGGACCTCAGCAGAAATCTTAATTTCCATGGGCAAAGAAGATAATGTCCAAGTGGTTTAAAAAAAAAAAAAAAGTTTAAAGAAAAAGCTCTCAAATTTCAGGGATTGGAGACAGAAAGCACTTTGTTTCCCAGTGTCCCATAGGCTGTCTGCTTGCAGCTCTCCTTTTGTTTGTGCAAATGTTGAAACAGACACAGGTCAGTGTGAGAACAGTGAAATTTCTTTCTTTCTTTTTCTTTTTCTTTTTTTAAGACAGGGTCTCACTCTGTCACTCAGGTTGTAGTGCAATGGTGTGATCTCAGCTCACTGCAACCTCCGCCTCCCTGGTTCAAGCGATTCTCCAGCCTCAGCCTCCGAGTAGCTGGGAGTACAGGGATGTGCCACCACCATGCCTGGCTACTTTTTGTATTTTTTTGTTGAGCAGGGTTTCACCATGTTGCCCAGGCTAGTCTCGAACTTCTGAGCGCAAAGTGATCCGCCTGTCTCAGCCTCCCAAAGTGCTGGGTTTACAGGTACAGGCGTGAGCCACTGAGCCTGTCGAGAACTGTGAAATTTCTAATTAACCTTCTCTTACTCTTTTTCCTCTACTCCCTCCTTCCTCCCCTACTTGATTCATTCCATATTTCAATTAAAAGCATTTATTGAGGTCTATTAGATGCCAGAATTTATTCCTGGGCAGGGGACAAAGAAAGGCACAGTCACTTCTAGCTGAAGCATTCAAGGAACTTATTAGCAAACAGGTAAGCACTCTATAGTCTGAGCAATGCTGTGCTAGAGAATAGAGAATAGGCTTCTGGAGGTGCAGAGGAGGCAGTTAGTACAGAGCTCTGGTTGTGCTGAGGAAGGATTTGCAGAAGCAGTGTCATTGGCCTGGAGCTTAAGAGTAAGGAGTAAGGTGAGAATGCCTGGGAAAGGCCAAGAGCCCTGCATCAAAGCAGGAAGGAACAGCACACAACTTCCTGGGAATGGCAAGGCATGTAAGGTGGACAGAGTGTATTTAATTGGGAACCATATAATGCAGGCAGTCCATGGGCTTCTGAAAGCCATATGAAGAAGAATGTAGGGTCTGGCATGGGCTGGGCAGTCTGCACTGTAAAAAGGCCAAAGACCAGGGCCAACGGGACCACTAGGAAGAAATCTGGCCCACACGCTTACTACAAAGGCATGGCCCCAGCTCAAGGCTGTGTTCATTGCAAGAAGGGGCACTTTTTTCTTATCACAAATGTGACTTCTGTTTGTCAAACCCTGTGCCCATAGGGGTGTATTCACTCAGAGGGGAAGCTTTTCTGTGAAGCAAAAGATGAAGGCAAGCAGTGGCACTGGAAGCGAGGATGTATTAAAGGGAATAAACACGAATTTGCAGAACCTTTGCCCTATACTGTATCCAGTTATGGTCTCAGGTATTTGATGCTCATTGATCGGACATCTTATTTCATCCCCCAAATAACCAAGTAAACTTTGTAGAGAGTATCTATTGGTTTGTCTATCCAGAACAGCACCATTTGCTTCTGCTAAATATTTTTATAATGTAATCTCTGTAATAGTGTGGTTTAAATGGAAGCTGCCATCTTCTTATACATCCTGCCCCTGGATAGCTGTTGGTTAGCCCTAGGTGGACACCTGATTCAAGATGGGACAATCAGAACTCTTTCCTGCTGAGCTTTTTTTTCTTTTTTTTTTTTTTCTTCTGAGGCAGAGTCTCACTCTTTTGCCCAGGCTGGAATGCAGAGGTGCAATCTCAGCTCACTTAGCCTCAACCTCCCAGGCTCAAGCGATCCTCTCATCTCAGCCTCCCAAGAAGCTGGAATTACAGGTATGAGCCACCAACCCTTGCCTGAGAATTTGGAATTTGGGATTCACAGCAGGAGTTTCTCCTCTTTTGCTAACTGAACTGGGCAATGTGAGCCTGGAAGCTGTAGGCCATTCATGTTTCAGCCGTTCACAAAGTAGTCAATCCAAGGAAATGTTGCTGAAGTGCAGAGAGAAGCAAAGATGGAGAGAGAACACCACTACCACTACCACCACTACTCCCCTGTCAAAAAGGCTTATGCCTGTAATCCCAGCACTTTGGGAGGCTGAGGCGGGTGAATCACAAGATCAGGAGCTCGAGACCAGCCTGGCCAATATGGTGAAACCCCATCTCTACTAAAAACACAAAAATTATCTGGGAATGGTGGCATATGCCTGTAGTCCCAGCTTCTCGGAGGGCTGGGGCAGGAGAATTGCTTGAACCTAGGAGGCGGAGGTTGCAGTGAGCTGAGATCACACCACTCTACTCCAGAGGCTCAGTCTCAAATAAAAAAAGGAGCAGAGAGAAAAGGGCCATCTGTGAGTTACTGATATGCATAATCCTGGTGATCCTGTTGCACAACTGTTCTCCCGTTGGTCAGTCGAGTTAATAAATCATCCCCTTTTTTGCCCAGTGAGTAGGGGTTAGTTTTCTGTAACTAGTAACCAAAGGAATCCTATTACAATATTATCACTACAGTTCAGGTAGGTGATGAAATTAAGCTAGCCCCAAATCACATGGCTGATAAGTGGCAGAGTTAGGATTCAAAATCATCTGCCTTCAAAACTCATGCATTTGCCATGTTTCACTTTGACAAGGTATCAAAAGTTTTTGAGAAGAAAACTGACAAGCTTTGACCTATTTTTGAGAAGGTCACTCTGGGACTCATAGAAAATGGATTTGGAAAGGATAAGGGTGAAGGTGGAAAGAGCCAGGAGGAGACAGATCACAACAGTCTGACCCAAGCATGGCAGTGAACATGAAGAGGAGGTAGTGGGTTTCAGAGAGATTTGGATGATGGCATCCACGGGGCTTGGTAGTAGTGTGGGGATGACAGAGGAGGCGAGAGAGAACAAGGTTTCTACAATAACTCTGAGGCATCTACATTACGATTTCATGTACCTTTTCTTTT